AACCTTGGGTATGTCAATTACTTTTTTGACACAACACCAAAAGTATGATCCATTAGATAAATGATGGATAATCTGGATTTCATTAAAATTTAAAAGTTCTGATCTATTATAGACAATGTCATTAAAATAAGACAAGTTACAGAATTGAAGAAAATATTTGCAAATAGCATCCTATCTAATAAAGAGGGAATATGCTAATTGACCATCACACCCTCACAAAGATGGCAGTGCCCATAGCCAATAAGGAGGGAATATGCTAATTGACTGCCACCCCCTCAAAGATAGCAGTGCCCATAGCCATAAGAAGGTGGCGCCCAGTTTTTTTTTAGCCCCACTAGGGCTGTAGGTATGTGGCACAGCCAGGCACACCTTGGGCGGGTCTGGCTGCTCCATGTGCCTGCCTCTGGAATCTCCCAGTTTCCTTAGCCCCTAGCCACCCAAAGCTGGCTTGAGGCACAGGCAAACTTCAGATGGTGGCTGTCCAGCCAACACCTGAGGTGCAGGCAAGCCTTGGATGGTGGCTGCCCAGCTGCTCAGAGCTGCCCAAGACTCAGGTAACTGGAGCCGGCTGAGAATTGCACTGCTGGCAGAGGTGTGATGGGGGTGTCACCTTCCCCTGATCACCAGGTCGCCTCCCAGACTGTGAGAGGAAGCAGGCCAGGGAACCCCCTCCTGTGCATGAATTTTCACGCACTGGGCTGCTAGTATTTAGTAATTGACAATTATCCAAAACATGCAGAAATACACAAACACCCTCCTAAAACTCAGCAATAAGAAAACAACCTAATTTTAAAGACCTTAACAGACACTTCACTAAAGAAAATTAACAGCTGGCAAATAAGCATCTGAAAAGATGCTCTATATCACATATCATCAGGGAAATGCAAATTCAAATAATGAGATACAACTACTACACTCCTATCAGAATGGACAAAATCTAGAACACTGGCTACATCAAATGTGGAGTAACAGGAACTCTCATTCATTGCTGGTGGGAATACAAAATGCTACAGTCACTTTGGAGAAGTTTGGCATGTTTTAACTAAAACGAACACACTTTTACCATATGATCCAGCAGTTGTGCTCCTTGATATTTACCCAAAGGAGTTGAAAACTTATGTCCACAAAAAACCTGCATCCAGATGTTTACTGAAGCTTTATTCATATTGCCAAAGCTTGGAAGCAACCAAAATATTCTTCAGCAGGTGAATGGATAAATTAAAGTACATCAAGAAAATGTAATATTATTCAACAATAAAAATAAATGAGCTGTCAAGCTATGAAAAGACATAGAAGAAAATAAAATTACTACTAAGAGAAAGAAAACAATCTGAAAAGGCTCTATACTGTATGATTCAACTATATGCCATTTTAGAAAATGCACAACTATGGAGATTAAAAACAAAATTTGTTGCCAGGGTTTGGGGTTGGGGAGGAATTAATAGGGGAAGAACAGAGGATTTTTAGGGTAAGGAAAATACTTTGTATACTATAGATGTGGACACATGTTGCTATACATGTTTCCGGGAGAGGAATAGAGAGCTAGAAACATCGATGAGAGAGAAACATCGACCAGCTGCCTCCTGCACACTCCCCACCAGGAATGTGCCCATAACCAAGATACATGCCCTTGACTGGAATCGAACCTGGAACCTTTCAGTCTGCAGACTGACGCTCTATCCACTGAGCCAAACCAGTTTTGGCTACATTGTTAATTTTAATTGCAGCATAAATTCTGTGGGTATACCATATTATTTTAAACAATTCTATTGCTGGTGATCATTTCAGTTTGTAAATTTTTACTCTTATAAATGATACTTTATGAACATGTTTTCATATATCTATGTACACTTGTCCAGTTATTTCCTAGCGTACATTTCTAGGAGAACAATTGCTGGGGCAGAAGGGTACTTTAAGGGTTTGATTTATATATTGATCAATTTTCTGCTAATAGGGTTGTAGCTATCTGTATTTTCAGCAGCAGTTTATGAGAATTCCTGTTTTATTTTTCACAACTTCATCAATGCTAGATACTTTCAATTTTTAAAATCTTTATAATAATAAAAGTGTAACATGCTAATTAGACCAGATGCTCTTCCTTCTGGACAAGGCTGCAGTGGGTGGGGGCCATGGTGGCGACGGGTTGGGGTTGGGACCAAGGCCCTTACATGAATTTTGTGCATCGGGCCTCTAGTGTAATATAATAAATTAGCATCTGGCTGTTTTAACTTACTTTTTTTGATTACTAGTTATGTTCATTATCTTTTCATAGGTTTTTTTTTTTATATATAAGTTTTACTTTTTGTTTCGTGAATTTACCCATTTTTCTGTGGGTATTTGTCTTATTGATTTATAAGAGCTTTTAATATAGAAGTTTGCTTATTTTTTATTTTTTTTATTTTGTTTTATTTATTTTATTTTTTATTGATTTTGTTATCACATAATTGTCCTTATCCCCCTATTCCCATCCAAAACCCCTCCCTACATATGCCCCCAACCCCCTATTGTCCATAGCCACTGGCTAGGCCCATATGCATGGTTGATCTCTTCCCTTTACCCCCACCCTCCCCTACTTTCCCTCTGAGGTTTGACAGTCTGATCGCTGCTTCCTTTCTCTGGGTCTGTTTTTGTTTGTCAGTTTATGTTGTTCATTATTTCCTCTAGATGTGTGAGATTATGTGATCCAAGAAATACCCTTGTAAGAACCAAAACTGAGACAAGCCATAATGGTTATGCTGAGAGGCAAATGAATCAGTCTGTAGTGAGTTTCTTTCTGGGCCAACAGTTATTTTGAGTCCCAATTTCAATGTCAAATAGTTCCTTATGTGTACATGTCAGCCATGATATTTTAGATCTGGTTGGTGTACAAATGGTGGTAATGCAGGTACAACCGTCTCTGGTTTGATCCTAGGCATCCTTCAGCAACACGCAGCTGCTGTCTACTAGTATGGTGATGCATCATCAGCATCTTCCATCTCTGAATTTTGTCTCTTCTGTCTTCATGGCTGGAGCACTTCTGTCTATTCCTCTCTGTTACAGGATTCCAGATGGTCTCGGGGTTGTTTTCTGAAAATATACAAACATATTCTTTTTTTTAAAAAATATATTTTATAGATTTTGTACAGAGAGAGAGAGAGAGAGAGAGAGAGAGAGAGAGAGAGAGAGAGAGAGAGAGAGAGATTTAGAAACATCGATGAGAGAGTCATCGATCAGCTGCCTCTTGCACACCCCCCACCGGGGATATGCCCGCAACCAAGGTACATGCCCTTGACCGGAATCGAACCCGGGACCCTTTAGTCCCCAAGCAGACGCTCTATCCATTGAGCCAAACCGGTCTCGGCCAAACATATTCTTGACCAAAAGTTAATAAAGGGATATTTTCTTTAAATTTGACTTGGGATTCTTTTTCATTTTTCCTCCCCAAATAATTTTCCTCTGGCTTGTTTTGACACTATACATATATTTTCATGGGTATTTTGCTGTTAAAGTTTTGAATGAAGGTTAATTTTCTAAAGTACAAATTTTTTAGATGTAAATTATTCTCAGAATATTTTTCCTTACATGATATTCTTCCACTGTCACCCCCTTTTTTACTTTAAATAATAGGAGACTTTTGGAAATTTTATAATGTAGTCTTGATAGCTTTTACATTTTAATTATTTGCACTACATTATGACTGCTTTAGGTTCATAACATGTTGTGCAATTTTACCGTGAGACTTTCTGCCAATAAGAATTTTTGTTAACACTTTAGGAACAGCTTTTTGTACAGTACAATCAGTTTTTCTAGAATATTAATTTATTTCCATTAGCCACATTAATTTCCTCTGAAAAATTGGCTACTATTCATCTGTCAAACTCAACACTCTAGCAACAATCTTATTTACCATGTGTGTATTAGTGGAATTGATTATTTGCCTTCTTGAGAAAGGCCTGAGCATTCCTGCTACTAGGCTGGACTTGGATATTAAAAACCTACTTGCTCACTCCATGGGTACAAGACCTCTCAAACAAGTCTTGTTGCCGTGAGAGGGCAGCTGCTGTCAGCCAAGTCTCTGTTACCTGGGTCCCAATTTGAGCTGTGCATGGGAAGCGAAGCAGCCATGGGGGCAGGAGATCTCCTTCAGAATGGGAGAAGGTTCAGGCGCCTGCCATGTTGCAGGGGGGGTTGGTAAGGGTCTGTGCCCCACTCTGTTGACCCCCAAGTTCTCTCCTGATGGCCCCTCTGTGACTGTGCCTGTCTTAGGTTGTTCCTTCCCTCAGGAATCTTACTTGTCTCAGGCTAACCAGCCATCCTCCGGGGCCATTGCTTATTTTTTTAATCGTATGTTGCAAAACCTATTTCCAAGTATGTCATTCACATTTTAAATTTTGTTTATGATGTTTTGAGGTTTAGAAGTTTCAACTTAAATTTATTCTTTTAATCATTTCCTTTTATAGTTTTTGGCTTTTCAGATGATATTTTCACTTATATTTTCCATTATAACTTTATTAGTCTTATTTTTAAATTAAATGCATTAAATAATCTGTAATTAATTTTTTGTGCAAGGGATGAGTTTTTATTCTCTTTTTTCTGCTCCTGTATTTGTATTTCTGAATGTAAAAAGCTAAAATTGGGTGTGTAACTAAATGCAGAGAAGAAGGAAACCAGGAAAGCAGCAATTCTGAGTAGGTTCAGAAGTGATTGTGTGTTTCCTATCATCTATCTTTTACAGCTCTATATACAACAGCCTTGCCAAATGATACACAGATAGGCATTTTATGGGTAGATCTAGGTTTTTTTTAACCCTTCAGTTTCTTGGCAGAGGTGCAGAAACAAGGCAATTCTCTCAAGATTATTCGGCATAATCCTATTTAAACTGGATTTATAACTTTGGGCCTGTCAGTGTTAAAGGGGAAAAGGTCCTAGTGAAGCTCAAGGGTTTATTTCTACTTGAGTATATAGTATTCAAAGCGATTGTATTGGGTTTTAATTTAAAAAAAAATAATTTTCCCTTTTAGATCGGAGACATATACTTTTCCTCCTGCTTCGTCTAAGCACCAACCCAGTCCTTCAAAGTATACTGTGGGCACTCAGACGGATTATCGTGATTCTGAAGCTCAAACAGATCCGTATTCTCCAGAATATGTAGTATGTCAGGATTCAATCCCTGAGCTCTTGACCCTGGCTACTCTGACTTGGGGTGAGTTGGTAATTCTCTTGCATACGTATTTGAAGATGACAGTCCTGATAATGATGCTGGCTATTGAGTTCCTGGAAATTCAGAGCACAGAGAAGCAACTGTGGTTTAAAGTGTCTTGCTCAGTAGAGCTATTTTATAGACTCATTCCTTTTCTAATACTTTAAAAAAAATTCTCACCTGAGGATATGTTTGTTTGTTTGTTTGTTTGTTTATTTTAGAGAGGAGCAGGAGAGAGATAGAAACATTGATGTCAGAGAAACATTAATGAGTTTCCTCCCATATGCGCTGCCCTGACTGAGAATTGAACCTGCAACCTTTTGGTGTATGGGACAATGCTCCAACCAATCAAACCACCCAGCAAAGACTTTTGTGTGGTAGTACTTTTGTTCAAAGAGAGCTATACCCTTTTCACTGTAAGCAGGCTTACTATATTTTATCCTTGAAGCTGATGTTTTATATCAGTTGAATTTATTCCCCAATCAATGCTCTTTATTTTTTTTTAATTAACCTGTTAACCGGGGAGTTCCCTTTTTAATTACGCAACGTACAATGGGCGCATACTCTTTCACTAGGACGTGTCAGTACGTCACGCCCAGTGGACGTAATTTTATATTATTATTTTTTTATTTATACTTAATTAAAATAAATGAAATATATATATTTTTCGATTATTTATATATAAAGCACAAAGGAAAATACAAAATTACGAACAAATAGAAAAGAATACCTACAAAAAAATGGAAACATCGAATTAAAAAATTATAAATTTTATAAACAATTATAAATATTACTAAAATATATTTTTTATAAAAAATATTAGAAAGTTAACAATAACAGAACAGTAAACAAAAGCACACAAATAAAATAGAAATATTGAGTTTTAAAAATTGAAATATAGATGTAAAAATTCAAAACTCAACTTCCGTGTGATATATTTTAAAACAATTGTTGATACATAGTGCTACCTTACAATCCAGACACCAGTATGTAGATTCTTTCCTAACACCTTTTTGTAGCAAACTTGACATTTCCTGGATTTAGTTTTTCCTATATCGCTTTTCTTTTTGTTCTGGAAAATGCCTTTCAACTAAGCGTGATGGTTTAGAATGTAGAGCTGCTTGTTGATGTCTTTGGGTGGGTTTTCACTATGTTGTTATCTACCAATTTCTCTACACACTCTATCAAAAAGTGTAATTGATCCAAATGACCTTTATCTTTTTTGTATATAATATATGCATTGAAGCAGCACATATCAATTAATCGTAGAAAAATTTTTTACCCTATTACGGGCAGCCGTGTAGGCCACCATAACTCCATCTCCCAAATCTATGCCGCCCATATTCTTGTTATAATCCAGGACAACATTTGGTTTTTCTTGCCTTCTTCCTCTCTTTTCAATCATTGTCTTTTCGTCATTATGAATAGAACTGAGCATCAATACGTCTTTTTTATCCTTCCATTTTAAAACCATAAGTTTGTCTTTGGATCTTACTATATGTTCATTTTTCTGTAATTTTTTTGTTTTTATTTCACTGGGGATTCCGACTCTGTTTATCCTTATTGTTCCAACAATGTCTGTATTGTTTTGACACGAGATCAGCCAAATGAATTGACGTATAGAAATTATCTAAGTAAATCCTATACCCTTTATTCAGTAAGTTAACTCCAAAACAATTCTTGTTGATTGTTTTTCTTGTGGGTAGTTCGAACCATAGTTTGTGTCCTTGCCTGTATATAAAATTATATTTTGAACGTATCCAGATTGGCTTTCACTCAAAATAAACAACTTCATTCCAAATCTAGCTCTTTTTGTAGATATATATTGTTTCCAAGATAAATTCCCTTTCCATAATAAAAGAGATTCATCTACGCATATTTCTCGTTCACATACATAAAAACTTTTAAACCTTTCTGACAAATTAATTGATGATTGGATCAATTTTATATGTTTTTTTTAATTATATAAAGGTTGGAGATATAAAAAATATAAGTAAATAACATAATACGAAAATTATATAATTATATAACAAGATTATAATTCTACATCTGTGTCTAATTACAGAAGTCTAGTTTCTTTCCTTTACCATTTATTTAACCTCGCTTTGCCCTTTCACCTTTCACCCCCTTTCTCTTCTGGTAACTAAAATCTATAAGGTCTTTTTTTTTTGTTTTTTTTGTTTTGATAGTTTGTTAGTTACTCTTTGTTTTATGTTCCACATATGAAAAGGGAACCACTGTATACTGTTATTGGGAATATAAGTTAGTACAGAAAAATAATATGGAAGTTTCTAAAAAAAATTTAAGAATAAAAATATGATCCAGCAATTCTTCTTTTAGGTTTTACCTGAAAAATATGAAAACACTTATCTGTAAATATATATATACCACTATGTTCACTGCAACTTTACTTACAAAAGCCAAGACAAACTAAACATCTACCCATTGGTGGATGCAGATTGTATAAAGATATATTATATATGTACAATGGAATATACTCAGCCATAAAAAGATTGAAAATAAAGCGGTGAAAAATATACAGATAGATAACTCAAAGAAAGTTCATTTAGCAATGTTAATATTAGACCAAAGTTAATCAGAAAGCATTAAAAGGAACAATGAAGTACATGTAATAGTTATAAAAGGATCTATCTTTCATGAACTTGTAGGTAACCTATGTGGACTCAAAATGTAAAGTAAAAATTGGTTGAATCATGAGAAGATATAGACAATTTCCTACTCATATGGATTTTAATGCACCTCTTTCAGATTAAGCTATCAAAAATTAGTAAGGATTAGATGATTTGGGTAGGCAAAGATGATTAATGTGTTCACATAAGAGCTTGTGTGTGATAGGCCATGGCCAGGCTGATGTGGTTCTGACTGAATATTAAGAAACGGAATGTGGAAGACGTGGCTGTAGCATTGCAGGTAGTTAATGGTTCTAGTCTCCTTTGACTCAGCAAATCCCTCACTATATTAAAGTCATTTGATTTATGAAAAAGATGCTACTGTGATTCAGTGGTGGAAAGGAGTTCTTTTCAAATAAATGGTGGTGAAATAATTACATATTTATGTGCAAAAACATGAACTTTAATTCTGATTCCTACTTCAATGCAGTCTCTGTAAAAAAAACCAACAGGTGTGTGTGTGTGTAAATTGATAATCTGATTCTAAAATTAACATGGAAATCTGAAAGGGTCAAAAGTAGCCAAGGCAAATGTGAGAAAACAGAACAAATATGCACTACCAGATATAAAAACTTACTATAAAGCTTCAGTAACTAAAAACTGTGGCATAGTTGCAAAGATAGACAAATATATCATTGTTAAACAATAGAGTCCAGAAATTAACTCACAGATAAATGTCATCTGACTTAAGACAAAGATGAAATGCTAACAGTAAAGGGGGAAGTGATAAATTCGATTACATTAGAACTAAGAACTTCTATTCACCCAAAAGCCCCCACATTTAGTATAGTAAAAAGGCAAGCCACATATGGGAGAAGATATTTGTAAGTGCTTTACATTTTTAACTTATTTAATCTTCACAAGTTAAGTGAAACATAATTTAAATCAGAAAGTAATACTATAGATCTAAAAAAAGACAAAAGAAGTGGTCATAAGGACCATAAAATAATATTTTGGATAAATATTAATAATTTAGCCAAAACTTCTTGTGGGAAGTAGCAAGACAAAAGACAGAGGTACAAATAAAGGGTATTAGGATCAGCAAGGGACATAATCACAGAGTAAATGACTTAAGAACGATAAGAAAATACTATGCATATCTTTTGCCCTATATTTTAAAAATAGATAAATTATACAGTTTTTAAAGAAAATATAAATTACTAAGTTGGTTTCAAGAAGAAATAGCAAACATGAATAGAATAACTATAGAAAATTACTTGGTAAAAAATTAAGAGCACTAGGCCTAAATAGTTTTACAGATAAGTTTGCTTCTTCTTTAAGGAATAAATAAGCTCTATTTTTATGTAAATTTTCCAACAAAGAAAAAAAGAGAATAAAATTAATTTGTTCATTTTATGAAGCTAGTGTAGCCTTAATTTGAAAACTGAATGAGGATAACACTAAAATGGAAAACTACATGCTGTCTCGCATATGAAGAAAATGCAAAAATTCTAAATAAAATACCATCAATCAAATCTTGCAGCATTTTAAAAGATGACTTACCATAAACAAGTTGGTTAATCACACAAATTCTAGTACATATCAGAAAACCAATGCAATTTATCATTTTAACAGGAAATGTTGGAAAAACACTTCAGTAGACGTAGAAAAGGTGTTAAGATAACATTCAACACTCATTTAATTTTTTTAATTTTTAATTTTTATTTATTTATTTATTTATTTACCATATTCTTTTATTTATTCCAGTTACTTAAAATTTGGGCATAGATTTGGTTTTGTTTTTTTGTTTTTTTTGATAAATAGAATTACATTTTTAAATATTGCCATTTAAAAGAACCAGGACATCACACACCCATTAGGGTGAACCACTTAAAATATAAACAAAGAAACAATAACAACAGAAAATAACCCATTGACAAGAGGTGGAAAAATTGGAACCTAAACAGTATGGTGGATTTTCAAAAATTGTCCAGCCAGTGTGGCTCAGTGGCTGAGTGTCAACCTATGAAACAAGGGATCACAGTTCCATTCCTGGTCAGGTCATTTGCCCAGGTTTAGGGCTCAATCTCCAGTAGGGGGCCTGCAAGAGGCAACCGATCAATGATTCTCTCTCATTTTTTTTTTAAATGTTTTTATTTATTTATTTATTTTTAATATATTTTATTGATTTTTTTTGCCCCCCTCCCTCCCTCCAACACATCCCCTCCCTCCCCAGAGTTTTATGTCCATTGGTTGTACTTATATGCATGTATAAAAGTCCTTCGGTTGATCTATTATCTCCCCCAGATGTTCCTCCCCTCCCCGCTGTAATTTGACAGTCTACTTGTTGATATACTGTCTCTATATCTATCTTTTGGTTCATCAGTTTATAATGCTCTTTATTACCCACAAATGAGTGAGGTCATGTGGTGTTTCTCTTTCATTGATTGGCTTATTTCACTCAGCATGATGTTCTCCAATTCCATCCAGGTTGCTGCAAATGATGAGAATTCCTTCTTTTTTATGGCAGCATAGTATTCCATTGTGTAGATGTACCATAGTTTTTGGATCCAATCATCTGCTGATGGGCACCTAGGCTGTTTCCAAATTCTGGCTATTGTAGATTGTGCTGCTATGAACACAGGGGTGCATATATCCTTTCTGATTGGTGTTTCTAGTTTCTTGAGATATATTCCTAGAAGTGGGATTACTGGGTCAAATCAACACTCATTTATGATACAAACTGTAAATAAACTGGGATCAAAAGAAAAAGTAATATAATAAAAGGTGTCTACCATAGTCTTCAATAAATGTAACCCTAAAGGTGAAACTTTGGAAGCTTTACCTTAATGTGAAGGAAAGACAATGCTACTTGGTAATGCAGAGAACATCCTAGCCCAGAGCTTATTGAGCTAGGCTATGACCCCTTGCCGCCACGGCCATTTGGAAATATGGTGGCATTTTGTATGTGATAATGATTAAAAAGTGCTCCTGGCATATAGCACATGGGATGCAGTTGGATGGGAGGCTGTAATAATACTAAACATCCTGTCCTGTATGGGGCAGTCTCGTACAACAAATGATTATCCAGTGTGACAGCAATAGTACCTTGGCTGAAAAATACTGAGTCAGCGCAGTTAAAGAAAAGAAAATAAGTGAGAAATGAATATTACAAAGAAGCAAAACTATCGTTATCTGCAGATGATGTGCTCTTTTTAAAAAAATCAAATGAAATAACCAATTTTTAGATCTAAGAACTTGAGGTCAACAAGACAGTATAAAATCAATATACAAAGCTCAGTAGTCTTCCTATGTGTTAACAATAGCTAATTAGAAATATTGAAAAAAAATATTTTTAATAGCAACAAATAACAAAACACTTAGGAAAATCACTTAATAAATACCAGTTGCAGCCAAAGCCAGTTTGGCTCAGTGGATAGAGCATCATCCCTTGGACTGAAGGGTCCCAGGTTTGATTCTAGTCAAGGGCACATGTCCAGGTTGCGAGCTCGATCTCCAGTAGGGGGCGTGCAGGAGGCAGCCAATTAATAATTCTCACCATTGAAGTCTCTCTCTCTCTCTCCCTCTCTCTCTCTCTCTCTCTTTTCCTTCCTCCTTGAAATCAATGAAATTTTATTTTTTAAAAATACAAATACTTAAAAAAAATAAAAACAAAAACAGGTACAAAGCATTTATGGAGAAAAATATAAATTGAGACTTTCTGTACATTACTTTGATATTTCTTAGTATTTCAAAAAAATAGATTTGTCTAATACAGGGCATATCAAGATATGATTGTTTAGCAGCCACATAATATTTTTCAAATATTTCCCGGCATCTTATATGCACCTAAAATTTCTTCTGGCTGAATCACTAACAAGAAGCAGTGCAGGGCACAGCTGGGAGGTACATCTAGAAGTTGTTCCCAAATATTACATCCCAACATAACCTTAAATGTAGAGAGAAAAGGAGCTGAACAGGAGTAAATTAAATACTGGTAGGTACGTGAGCTTGTCCATGTGTTTCTAAAGTGCCGTTGCTCCATCCCCAGGTCGCGGTCTCCCGGCAGGTCAGGCTGAGGTGGAGATGATAGAACGAGCCCGGGAGAAGCGTGCCTGGGAAGCCACACTGCCGTCTCTGACTGACACCGCCCAGTTTGAGAAGAGGAGGAGGATGATGAATGAGATGGAGAGGAAGGAGTGGGCCTTCCGAGAGCAGGAGATTGAAAAGTAGGTTCTTGGTCCCCCAGACGACAGCTCTTGTGCTGATGGGAGTAATGTTAATACTTTTTACTTATAAAGCATTTCCCCAAATGTATCAGGTTTAAAAGTAATCCTCAACCTATATAGACAGGAAACTGGGTTTCTGGTTCTTCCAGGAACAATAGCTCTACGGTTTTCTCTCCGTTGATATAAAAACGTACAGTGTCCCCTGTGCGTTCAATGCAGCATGGAGCCAGCTCGGAGCAGTTCCTCAAGGCACCTCTGCTCCTCTTCTTCCCCTTTGTCTTCAGTCTCTAATCTAGGCTGTCAGACAACCCCACTGATTTATGCATAATGTCTTTCTTTAAAAAAATATATATATTTTATTGATTTTCCACAGAGAGGAAGGGAGAGAGATAGAGAGCTAGAAACATCGATGAGAGAGAAACATCAACCAGCTGCCTCCTGCACACTCCTTGCCGGGGATGTGCCCGCAACCAAGGTACATGCCCTTGACCGGAATCAAACCTGGGACCTTTCAGTTCGCAGACTGACGTTCTACCACTGAGCCAAACCGGTTTCGGCTGCATAATGTCTTTCAAACTGTTCCTTTCAATTCATTCCCGTGCCACCCCTC